CAATAATATATATATATATATATATATATATACATAGATTTCTGAACAGAATAGATATAGTAACATCAATGATCATAACAATGATAAAAGGAAGTGTTCCAGATTCTGAACTGGGAAAGAACATAATATGAACTAATCATTGTCCATAATATAATTTATTGTACAAGTCAGGATTTGACTAGAGTGAAATCTAGGTACCCTGTAATTTGATTACTATGAAAACATACTGTCTGTAGTCCACTTGGTTGGGCAGCAAGTTGTACAAAAAATATGTGGATCACATACTTGTTGTTTTCTGAGAAGATAGGCTGATAGTTCTGTAACAGAATCTGATGGTTGGAAACTTTCACTGGAGAGCTTCCCTGGCTTTTAGAATTATTGAATTCTGAAAATATTTCTTTGAGCCGTTTCGGAGAATCACATTTTCAGCAATATTTTGATCCACCATATGAGTAGTGAAGTATTTTGTTGGCATCATTTCCATTTGTCTGACTACCTGTTTTTGTCATTGGTAAGTCAGAGTGGTTCCTGATTATTGACTCCACACTAGCCAACAAGTAAGAAAGAAATTGCGATTAATATTATAATGGATATACATGGGATTTTAAAATTTAAAGCATCCTTTGACTTTTAAGTCACCACATATTTGCCACTTATACGTATTATAACTTATTGCATTTAGAATAAGTGACATACTTTCGTGTGTTTCCTTCATGGCAACAGTTTGTGCAAAAAGAATAGAGGGACTTTTGTTATCATTACCGACCAAGCGTGTTCAATTCATGCAGGTTGGAGCCCAGCTTCCTTACCCTTTTAGATGATTTTTGTCGAAGAAGGACAAATGGGTTCATAACTGAGGGGATATTGGCGGCATGAATTCCTCAGACATCAGTACCGCCCTTCACGGGATACCCCTACCTGGCTGGGGTGGGATGGATGAAAAAGCTATTATTCCGTTAACGGGGAACATGAGGGCCTCATTCGACAGAGTGTCGGGGCCTTCTATATCGGGATGGGTTGTCTACGTCTACAGCATAATCTATAGCTTCCCTAACTAACAGTTGTTACCATTATGAAGCAGAACGGCTTTTAAACCTGTTGCCAGATGTTGAACAATTTCCTCAATTTCGGAAAAAAGCAAATTTGGAATGTCGTGTTCATTAAATTTTTGTGAAAAAATTCATAACTCAAAAATCTAATGTGTTAGGAAATTTTTACTATCATTTTCGCATTTAGGGACCAAAAACTGCCTTTGTCATTACAGTCGTAAATTCGCTGTAAACTAATGAATTATTGGATTAGAATCTCAAAACTATCGATTTCCCCTCTTGAATTAATTAATTTCATTGTTATTTTGTCAGATATAAATATCCTTGGTTTGTTTACCTATGACAATGTGGGTATACTAATCTGAAAACCGGTGAGTAGACCAGGTCAATTTGGTCATTATTTAGTAGATTACATATGCAATGCTCATACTTATGAATTTCACGTATTTCAAATAATTGACTTTTTAACCCTTGCCTGCATAGCGCAAAATTTCGGCATCGTTCAGATTCGGAAAATTATGGTTCCATTCCCAGAAATGGTTTGAAAATTTCGAATCATTTTTACCTAGTCTGAACGACTTTTCATGTTCAGCATACCGTTTTGAAAAATGTCTATCACATTGTCCCACATAAACACTATTACACTCCGGACACTCATAAACTCCAGATTTCTCCATCTTGTCTACTTTATCGTTCGTAATGAAAAGGAAATCAGATAACGTTGCATGTGGCGTGAATTGAAATTCCACATCGTCTATGTCCTTTCATTTTAAAATATTTTGGTAAATGAACACTTCAAATAAACATTTCCACATTAATTTTTTATGAAAAAATCCGCAACTATCTCTGTTCTTCTACTCTAACATATTTTAGTATAAAAACATAGGAAGTTTCAATTCTCATTTTTCATGATGATCTTGTACCATGTAGGAACGGCGACATCCATCAATTCAACTGAAATATCCTTCAACTATTAGGTTGTAGGTTTTTGGGTGTAGATTGAGAATAAACACCCCTTTCAATTAAAACTATAACGGAATTCAAATCATTTCAGTATTGAAAATTTCAATAGTTCACCTGCCCATTCAGATGAGAAGTACATTCATCCGAGAAAGAAGTATTGCACAGCAAAGCTTGATTACGGTTGATGCGTTTCAATAAAATCTCATATAAAATAAGTAAAAAAAACTATATTGAACGATTTTTTGTTTGAAAAAAAAAGATAACAATGTAGACAATGTAATGAAAACTAAAAAATGATTCGAATGGTCCTAGGTAACAGTCATCACACCACTCTCCTCAGCAATCTACGGTATTGATCAGATGAATGGAATGAGTAAAAAATGTTTATGTTGAACAGTTTTATTTAAAAAAATATACCAAAAAGGTAGCAGTCATCACACCACTCTCCTCAGTAGTATTTACATATTTACTCAGATTACGTAACGCCCATCGATTGTATTACTCCTTATCTGATCAATATTGTACATAGATTTATGAGGGGAGTGTTGTGATGACTACTTCCTAGGACTGAATTATTTCACCGTTTAACATTTCTTTCACTCATTTTATTTTCAAGTTTTCAGTTTCTAATTTTCATCCACCCCAATGCCACACAGTTTTCAGCACATTTTAACTTTTCACCTCAGGTTAAGTTAGGTCAAAAGTGAGTGAGTCTATTCGAACATAAACTGCGACCCGCAAGGGTTAATTGTGGCTCACACCAATTCACACTCAACCAAATAAACCCAGCTTCTTAACGAAGCAAATCAGTTTGTTTGGTGAGTGGTCTTTCAGGTCAGATGGTAAGAGTACGGCTCTGCTGAACTCTGAAAACCTAGTACGGTCCCCAGCGGGGCAGGCATAATGTA